TATATATATATATAGATATATATATATATATATATATATATATATATTGGTATGTGTGTGTGTGCCCTAAGATGACTCCTGTTGTGACTTGGAGCTTTACACATAAACTGAATCGAACTGAAGTGAATTGAAAGGAGATGTGGGTCATGAAAATGGATGGATGTTAATAATGTTCCAGCTGTTTTAGTAAACATTATGCCAACTTTTTTTTTGCAAATAATACATAATATATATGATATATAATATTTTCTTTCAATATTACATTGTTAAGCTCGACATTGCAACTTTAATGTTGAAACAAGGAAATAAAAAATTAAAAAACTCTAAAAATACTTTTTTTTCTTCTGAGTGGGCCTAATACGCTGTTATACTTTAAACATATGAATGTCAAATACTGATAAGAGTTTTTAGGCACAATGGAATTACAAGCAGTATAATTAATCAGTCACAGTACCAGAATAATGAACACTGGGACAGTAGGTATCAGTTTCCATTCTTTAGCTGATAAATAATCATTTTTTGTTCATTTTAAAATACGTTTCACAGAAACCCTTCATCCACGATAGAGTAAATTCAGAAGGACTAATAATGCAGCTCTCTTCTTCTGGTCCGTGTCATAAATCTACAGTTCACTCGCCTGAGCAAACTGGATGTGTGCCAGCCGGTCTGAAGTCCAGAGAGGAACCTGATCCAGCTTCAGAGACAGCACCATTATCTGCTGCGTCAGCAACTCACACAAACTTCTTCTACCATTCATTCTGGGATCTCAGCGTCCCTTTAGCTTGGAGCTCAGATTTATATAACACTTGTACCATGGCAGATCCTAAATGTGTTGAAAATACTCCGAACAGAAACCCCATCATTGTTGTTTTAAGACTAAGACAGGGTCGTAGAAAACAAAGACACTGTTTCTTTAGGGCTTCCTGATTTATACTGACATAAAACAAAACTAAATCAAGTTCAACTCTGTTCCCTCTCTTGTTAAATCTAAGAATGTTTATATCACACGTGCACCTGCATGGTAGTGTTGAGAGAACTGCACCCCTGAATAAGCAGCATGGATGCCAGGTGATTGTGTGGGTTTTGACTGAAGGCCTCATTAGCAGCTTTATGAGTAAAACAAACTCTCACGCTGGTGACAAAAGTGAAATGTGCAGGTGTCCCTGTTTGATAAATTTGCCTGCTGTGAGGTCAGCTCAGCTGAATGCAGCTCTTCAGGATCACATTCATGTTCAACTCTAAGACATCTGACTTTGATATGGTTCTTTGGTTTGGACTTTAGCCACACTGAAAGCTTTCATTACAATTTTTGTCTAAAAACACACTTTTAATATTTCTGGTCAGCTGTGCCCTCAGTCTGACTCGACATTAGTCTCTTTCAGTTTGTTGGAGAGGTGGACACTTAAAGGACAGAGTCTCCAACTTTGTTTTTGGTGTCTTCGTGAGCCTTCTCACTATCGATCATCTTCTGTTCAACATCCTGCTCCTTGCTCAGGGCTGCCTTGTCTTTCCTCCTGCTCCGGGCCTCCACCCAGGGAATCAGACACAGCAGGATGCCGCCGATGATCGGAGGGATTCCTGCCAGGTAGAAGGCCATGTTGTAGTTTCCCAGTTTGTCCCTCAGGAAACCTGCAACAAAACCCACATAGTTACAGGCACAGTGACACACAGACAACCATCTTTATTCCCAGCGCAATCAATATGTGATTTCTAGGTGCTTTTGTGAGGAGGCCTGGGGTCTCGTGCGCAAAGACTTGCGTGTATTTCCTACTGAAAATTGGCATACGCTTAAATCAATACAAGAAGCGTACGCACAAATAACTCCAGATGTATGAAACCGTGCGTACGCCTGAATCCAAACACACATCCTTTGCGCATCCCAATCAACGTGAACTGAGCACGCATGAGGGAATACCTGAGTCCTCCCTTGACATGCATCCATTTAAATATGTAAACTAGATGCAGATGTTTTGCATGCGCAATTCTCATCTCTGCATGATAAAAATGTGTGTGTAGATGCAACAAAATGAAGAATTTCACTGAAGGTGAATCAGACACTCCAAAATAAGTAGTGGGTTGTAAAAACATGTTTGCCACATATCAATAGTAAATGGACTGTACTTATACAGCATGTTTCAATCTTATCAAGATAATCAAAGTGATTTACACTACAATGTGTGCTCTCATTTACCCATTCATACAGCACTCTACTATTTCTATACAAAGACTAATGAGTGATTTATCACATTCATACACCCATGGGACACACATCGAAGGCAATGAGGGGTTCAGTGTCTTGCTCAGGGACACTTCGGCATGTGACTGCTGATGGAATTGAACCCCCAACTCTTGAATTGGAGGATGACTGTGCTAACCACTCAGCCACAGACACCCAGATATGTAAAAGCTGTGTTTTGCTGTTGATTGATGTAAACTGAAGGGCTGCAGATCTGATGGTGGAGCTTTTCTAAGTCCAAGAAAGGTTGAAAACAAAAACAACTGGACTTCTATTATGTAGACATTTTGCTTCTTTTCTGAGCTTTCTCAATTCAAATGATGAAGACTATGGAGTTTGAGTTTTAAACTGCTGTTTTGTGAGCTAGATGCACATGCAGATTGCACTCTCACTCCTCACAGTAGAGGATCGTTTGGGTCTTTGTTGGTCTGGCTCAAAATGCGTCACTCTGGTCACATGAATAAAGGTCTTGATTGTAATGAAACTGACTGGGTATCAGTCTTAAAGCTGCATTATGGGTTTTTGAAAGCTGAAATCTGAGACCTCCTCCTTTGTTTAATGATGGTTCCTCTCTTTTTACATAAACAGCTTCCTTCACTCCCCTCTCAAACCATCTGTCCTCACATGAGTGTCCCTTATCTGTGAGGTGGAGGTGAACAGCTGAGTCTTGTCCAGAGGAGGTGGCTCTCCTGTGTTGAGCCATGCGTCTGTGAAGAGGCTGTTTAGTTTCTCCAAAGTAGAGGTCTGGACAGTCCTCGCTGCACTGGACCGCATACACTACACCACTCTGTTTGTGTATGGGTGTTCTGTCCTTAGGGTGGACCAGCCTCTGTCTGAGAGTCCTGCTGGGTTTGAAATGTACTGGGATCTTGTGTTTGTTGAAGATCCTTCTGAATTTCTCTGATACTCCAGCAACATAAGGGATGACAATGTTTTTCCGTCTGTTGTTCTCCTTTTTCTGTTTATTGGTGTGTTTTGTAGATTTCCTCGCTGACTTGACAAAAGCCCAGTTTGGATATCCACATGTTTGAAGAGCTTCTTGAATGTGTTTCTGTTCCTTTTCCTTCCCTTCTGTCTTTGTGGGGATGCGTTCGGAACGATGTTGTAAAGTTCTGATGACAGAGAGTTTGTGTTCCAGTGGATGGTGGGAGTCAAACAGAAGATACTGGTCTGTGTGGGTTGGTTTCCTGTAGACCTTCTAAGGCAATTCCAAATTTACACACGTCAAGTCAAGTCAAATTTATATATAAGGCACATTTAAAACTTCAACTGTTACCAAAGTGCTTAATATGTTTAATATTAGGCACATGTTTAATAAATAATTACAGTAATCACTAAGGCTCTTAGGAGCTTGGTTGATGTGGCAAAATGACTTAGTGAGAATCAACCATTTCCTCCGCTGTGTGGGGAAATTGTATATACCAGGGCATCATATGGACGATGCGGTGGCGCAGTTGGTAGAGCTGCCGCCTCTCAGCTAGGTCGCCAGATCGAATCCTGGCTGCGGGGTGTGTGTGTGTGTGTGTGTGTGTTCTGGATGGAGTTTGCATGTTCTCCCCGTGCTGTGTGGGTTTTCCCCAGGTACTCCAGTTTCCTCCCATCCATCCATTTTCCTCTGCTTATCCAGGGTTGGGTTGCAGGAGTAGCAGCCTAAGTAGGGAGGCCCAGACTTCCCTCTCCCCAGCCACTTGGTCCAGCTCCTCTGGGGGAATCCCGAGTCCCAGGCCAGCCGAGAAACATAGTCCCTCCAGCGTGTCCTGGGTCTTCCTCTGGGCCTCCTCCCAGTGGGACGTGTCCAGAACACCTCACCTGGGAGGCGTCCAGGAGGCATCCTAAACAGATGCCCAAGCCACCTCAACTGGCTCCTCTCGATGTGGAGAAGCAGTGGCTCTACTCTGAGTCTCTCCCGGATGATCGAGCTTCTCACCCTATCTCTAAGGGAGAGCCCAGACACCCTGCGGAGAGAACTAATTTCAGCCGCTTGTATCCGAGATGTCATTTTTTCGGTCACAACCCAAAACTCATGACCATAGACGAGGGTAGGAACGTAGATCGACCGGTAAATTGAGAGCTTCGTCTTTTGACTCAGCTCTCTCTTCAACACAACAGACCTGTACAGCACCCGCTTCACTGCAGACGCTGCACCTATCTGCCTATCGATTTCATGCTCCATTTTTCCCTCATTCGTGAACAAGACCCCAAGATACTTGAACTCCTCCAATTGTCCACACAATATAGCAGAGTCGCGTAAGCCAACACAACCCTACAACATCCAGAGCCTTAAGAGCCTCCCACAGACCAAAAGCATGCATGGTAGAAGAGAGAGAGAGAGAGAGAGAGAGAGAGAGAGAGAGATTGTTTGTCTCTATGTGTCCCTGTGATGGACTGGAGACCTGTCCAGGGTGTCGCTCACCTTTCACACAGTGACTGCTGGATATGGGCACCAGTGACCTCCAAGACCCGAAAAAGAAGAAGCAGGTAAATATAATGGCTGGCTGGCTGGCTGGCTGGCTGGCTGGCTGGCTGGCTGGATGGATGGATGGATGGATGGATGGATGGATGGATGAAGTCATCCTATCCAGCTGACCTGGCTTAGGGACAACTGAGAAATACCTGACCAGTATCTGGTTGGTGTGATCCCTGTAAACACACTGCCTCCCAGTTCTTCTATTGGTGATGTTGTCCTGCAGCACCACAGCTGTTAATGTCCCATAATTATGTACAATTTTACGCAGCTATTTATGGACATATTTGTGATAGTGTACATCATGTCAACCTGAAGAGTCATCAGAAATGAGTTGTTCTGAATCAATGTGCTGCTCTGAATTCATTTTCCTCTCAGTGAGAATGAAATGTCTCTTACACAGTTCACACATGCTCCTTCTCTGTCTGTGTGCCACAGGCGTGTTTACATCTACAAATGACAAAAATACAAGAAACTTTACATAAGAAATATCCTGCTGCTGCTCAATAATCCAGGTAGAAAAATCTAACAAAGTTCAATCTGGTCCTCTGGACATTCAAAAAAACAAAAAACAAAATAAAGCAAAAAAATGTACAGTAGATATGTTTCGTCTTTAATCTGCAAGACTTCCTCAGTCTCGGTGCTGAAGGTGCTATTTAAGAGACTGAGCTGAATACAGCACCTCAGACTGAGGAAGTCTCTCGAATGAGAGAAGAAACGTTTCTACATTTTTTTTCTACATTTTTTTGCTTTGTTTTGTTTTTTTTGAATGCCCAGAGGACCAGATTGAACATTTTTAGATTTACATAAGAAACTTTACATAAGAAACTTTACATAAGAAACTTTACATAAGAAACTTTACATAAGAAACTTTACATAAGAAAATTATGGTTTGGATCATTTTGGAGGTGTGTTAGATGTTTTGTTGTTTGAGGTTAAATACAGTTTGGTTTCCGTGTTTGTATTTAAACCATCCATCCATCCATCCATCCATCCATCCATCCATCCATCCATCCA